CAACTGGCCCCACAAAAAAAAAAAAAAAAAAAAGTTGCCTCAGCACAGCTTTTCAAAACATTAAGAAAGTGTACTAAATTACTCTTCCTCTTACCACATGCCAGAATATTTTCTCTTGCCCTCCCAACTAAAAGTAATGTGTCTTAAGTCCTAACAGATTCCGGGGATTAACTCCTATGACTAATATTGGGCAGGCTCACCCAGGATTTATTAGGGATCAATGTGACCAATGAGCTTGGCAGCTGGTAGTGGTCCTCCTTTCCTCCTAATGCTGTAAAAATAACATTGTTGCCATTATTACATCATTTCAGTGTCTCTAAATATGTTCATCAGTCTGACCACTGCTAAATGTTTTCAGAAAAAAAAAAAAAATCCTTCTGCCTCTCCAAAGGTTAGCTGACATCGAAGAGCTGGCAAGTTACCAAAACACAAATCTTGGTCTCCTTCCTCACCTCCCACCGCCCAGCTGATTGAACAAGTAATAGTCAAAATATTTGCAGAGACAAGTGTTGCCCACAGGAACACCAAGTTTCTCCTACTGATTAATTCTTTCTGTTCCAAGTTAGCAGTGCAATATTGTCCCGAGTGCTAAAACTGCCAGTAACGCTCTCCCTTTTGTCTTAAAGGCACCACGTCTGGAGCTTAATGGCAGCGCTAATTCTGATTTATTCCTCTAAATGCCAAATCTGGAAGGAGAGGTCAAAATGGTCAGTGGGTTCCCGTTATGGTGAGCTCTAAAATGAAATAAGGGGTAACATGGCCAGAAGGGGCAGATAGAGAGCGGCTTGATCTTGCCCTCATTTACTCAGACAGTCCACTTACAGCTCATCTGTCACCCAGGATCACAAGTGAGCCTTCCTGGGTGGCTGCTGCCACAGTCTCTGAAATATTTTGCTCATTCTTTCCCATCGGAGCCAAGTGTCTCTTACAAAAAAACAAAAAAAAAAAAAAAAAAAAAAACAGCACTGCTCATGTTCCTAAGACCTCAAGATTACCTCTCCCTTAAACCCATGCCAACAAGGAAAGGCCTCTCCTGTCTCGATTCCCTTATTTCACAAAAGTTTTCTCTCTCGTTAATCTTTTACATTCAAAACATTTCTGGCATACGAGGACTGCATTTAATTAGTGCAGACACTTGGAAGACTAAGTGTCTTGGCCTTACAAGGAAAGGAAGGAAGAAATGTCTCAGGCCCAAAGGTCTGGCACTCTGAAAGCCAGCAGCTTAAGCCCATCACCTCTCAGCTATTGAGGTTAGAGAGTAGAAGCAGCACTAAGTTTATAAACTATTTGGAAGCCACCCCTATTAGGATTAGTGCTCTACCTTATGTGAACAGGAGAGTTATCAGACTCTGACACCATGAACCGAAGCGGATCCAGCTTTCAGAGAAAGAGTTACCTTTAAATCCTAGCGCGACACATAATCTAGCTTACTCTCGCTATCTTGTCTCCATCAGCCTGCCCACCTCGATGCCCACCAGCAGCTCCAGCGTTGAATGTTCTCTGCTGTGATTTCATGCTTCCTCTATACGGCCAACTACTCACTACCTCCCAGATTTCACTGGGGTAAGAAATGGACCCTGAGGTCCTCCCAGGAGGCCAGACAAAGCTATTGATACCGATTGTTTTAGTACAGCCTCGTTCATCTCAGAGATAAATGCATATGCAATAGTTTGCCTCTCGAATAAGAGTTGCATCATGGTGATTAAGTCACATTTCAAATCTGCAATATTCAACAGTCTCTTAGTGATTCAAAAACACATAAAGTGGTCCTCCTTCTTTCCACTTCACTGTTTAGATGAGATCATCCATCCTTCTCTCCTATACTCTAATATGAGGAAGACAAAAAGCCACGGATATTACTTTGTATCCCAGGGGATACAAAAAAAATATTCCAAAGACAATACTTCCGACATTAAAGACCATGCATGTATTGGTTTTGTTCCATTTAAGTATAAAATCTTTTTGTGATTCACTTAGGCTACATTATACCTCACCTTCCGACACAGCTACGGGCAAGGGCAAGGACTATCAGTAATTGAGTTGTTCTCCTGCAGTTATTAAACCTGCACTATTCGAACCAGATACATAGGCAATTTCTATTACTCCTCCCTTTCAGCTGGTTTGCTTTTGAATCATCATTTGCAAATATTTTATTGCATCTACATGTATCTACATGTTTCTGGGGGAAGTGAGCTTCCATTTTCCTTAACCACCTTTTCTGTAATGAATGTGTAGCAATCAGGGTACAAGATTCTTCACTCCAGCCTTCTTGTATAAGGTTAAGATATAGTTGTACAAGTATATACTTGAGTGTATATGCTTTTTAATTCCCCTTCTACTTCAATTCCTTTCTCTCACCGGCCTTTAGAATTCTGTATACCTTTCAATGCATTACATGAGAAATACCTTGTAAAGATATGGAAAATAGAATATTTTTACATTAAATTTTTCTAAGCAACTGGACTATAATTTTCTGTACATTCACATGACTCTATCTCCATCCCTTGCCCAAACCCCATGGATTTCCCATGTCTTCCCAGCAGATGAGGGATCTTTTATTCCTACAATACTATATCCTGTTGTTACTGAACATGACTTGTGGATGGCATGGATGCACAGGAAGTATTGGCTCTGCTTAGGAAGGATCAGAATAAAAACCATGTTCTCTGTGTGTGTGTGTGTGTGCGCGCGCGTGTGTATGTGTGCATGCACATATGTACATGAGCACACACAAACACACATGGTCACGGTGTTAGAAAGTAAAAACCCAGACCAGTGAGGCAGCTCCTGGTAAGAAAGGTCTGGAGTCTTGTTATGTAGGCATTTCAAGGCAGAGGGAAAGAACGAGAATAAACAGGACTTACGAACTGGTCTCTTTGTCTCCAGCCTTTGTCCTCCTTCAGATCTCTTCCACACTGTAGCTGCCAGAAAATAGAAATCTGATCATGATAATCCCTTACTTAAAAGTCTTTAATAGCTCTCTGCTAACCCGTAAGATAAAGTCCAGACTCCTTAGCATGATATATAAAGCCCTTCATTATCTGGTTCCGGCCTTCGTGGTCAGCGTTATCTCCCTCCACTCCCCATGAAGCTAGAGCCATAGAGCCTTTTTATGTTCCCAGAACATACTATGAGAACCAGGATCTTGTCTTTATTTAGGACCACTATCATGAGAAGAATTCCGTGACCCCCAAGAAGCGTTGGGAACTTTATATCTCTAGGAGTTTTGTTTCCTTAACCATGGCTTAAATATGAGCTAAGTGCCTTGCTTATTAGAAAAGATCACTCGATGGAATTATGTTGATGTGGGGTACTGTTTAAAAATACATCCATTCAATTTTACTTTACTCAGACTGCTTGGTCCCATTAAGTACTCCCTGAAAGTCTAAAATGCGCTGGGATTTTAGTGGGGTATCATTTGTTACTAGTTTGTTGTGCTCTGCTTAGCTCGCTTTAAAGTAAATCAACCTAATGGTCTATCTCTTTGAACCTGTGTGTGTGTGTGTGTGTGTGTGTGTGTGTGTGTGTGTGTGTGTGTGAACATGTGCTTGGAAAATTTCTCTCAGCAGCTCATCCAGATGATCATGAAAATTAGAAAAGGTCGTGAAAGACTGCACTTATTTTGGAGGTGCTTTCTTGAATGTGACTATCTGGAAGCCCGAGAACTGACCTGGTTCCCATCCTGCCATGAGGAGCCTTCCTGACCCAGCCTCAGGCTTCAGTTCTGCCCACCTTGAGCCAGACTCTGGCTTTGTGGTATTAGAAAGTCCCTAAACTTCTCAGGGAGACGTGGCTACTCTGTTTCAACTTTAGCCACTTTGCAGCAATTTCCAGTCTATTGAAATCTTTCTTTCTTACCAATAGCTTTGCTGGTAAGGCTATTACTGGGCACTTCTAATTACCAAATGCAATAAAAAATTTCAGTCCTTATCCGCTGGATTTCTTTATACCACTTACAGTGGTTGATCACTCTCTCCTTGAAACTCTGTCTTCCCTGAGCTGCTTATTCTCATTATACACTTGGCAGTATTTTCTCTTTCATCTTTATGGGGTCTTTTCTTCTTCCTACCTTTCACATGTTGGTGTTCCCCATGGTTGAGTTCTGAGCCCACTGCTCACCTCATTTTCACAGCTGGCAAGACACCTAGTCTTGTGGTTTCATCTTTCATCCAGACTTTTATGATTCCCTCACCCTCATCTCAAGCTTGGACCTGGCTTTGGACCTTTATCCAAAGTCCTGCTGGTTGACTTCTCCTGGATTTCCCACTGACAACTCAGCCTTTAAATGTTCAAAATAAACCTCTTCATTTAACCCCTCTTCAAACAGTTTTCCCTTAACAATCTCTGTCTAAACTGATAGTACAGTTACCCACAGTAGAAATCTGGGAAATCTCTTCATTTCTTCCCAGTGTCCCATGTTTAATCAGTTTGTATATTCTCACCAATTTTGCCTCTAACATATTTCAAATACACCTTTTTCTTTCATCCCTGTGATATTGCCCAGGTTTTGATGAGTGTCTTCACAGACTCCTAACTAATTTGATGACCTCATAACAGGTATCTCTGCTTTCAGAACTCTGCTCCTCAGAGTTCAAATCAACTTAAAAATTTTTTAAGGACTCTGTCTTTCCTATACGATAAAACCCAAGAGCCTTAATATCTATGAGACCTTCATTGATCTGGGTCATGACTATTCCTTTATGTTCTTATCACCTCCGCGTTTTCACATCATCTTCAAGAAAACCAAAATCCACCTGGCCCAGATGATGATGTTTCTCACCTCTGTACTTTTGCAGACCCTTTCTTTTTCAATACTTTAACTGTGAGAGCAATGTTCACCATATGATCACCATCCTCCTTTGCTCTTGCACTTGAGTTGGGATATATGACTAGTTCTGATCGATAATCTGGAGTGGAGGTGAGATAGATCATTTATAAGTCAAGGCAGTTAAGTGTCAGAGTACTTACATCTCCTCTCATTCTCCATCTCCTTTCCCTAGACACATGAAAGAACTCGAAGATGTAGAGTTGCAATTTGGAAGCAGCCACAATCCCCGAATCACTGCTGGTGGAGAAGAACCATGAAATGATGTCTAATCTACTTGTCCTGTAACATAATTAAGAAATAAGCCTTTGCTGCATTAAAACCATGACATTTTTGTGTTTTATTGGTATTGGAAGATTTTGCTTTCAGGATTACACTCCAGAATCATTAATTAGGAAAATTGTCTCTATCCCTACCCGGACTGTTACCTGCATCTTCCCTGGGGTTCCCAAATTGTGATTTTCATTTTGTCATAGCAATAAAATGTATCTGATGATATGTCTACCCATTCTTTCTTAATGATCAATTGTGCTCTCTTTCAGGGCAAGATCTATGCCTGCTCTATCATCTAGGTTTGTTGTATAAATTAATCAGTTAATGTATGAATAGTATCCTGAGCTGTACCCATACAGAGTGAGTGCTCAATAAATATAAAAAAAAATCACCATTATTGTTGCCATTAATAGTGTTATTATGGTTATTTCCTCAACACCGATCATGATGTCTGGCTCATACTGAGTGCTCAATACAAGTAAGAATGAAACAGTGTATGGTGTAATCCTTGCCTATATAAAATTGAACTAATGCTTCCTCTACTTCACAGGGTTGCTGTAAGGAATGCAGTTAACTGTTCATGGTTAAACACAACACTGTGTAAGTTATTTTTATTCTAATCTATGCATACAGAAGTGGCATTTTACTTATTCCTCTTCATTTAACTCTTTTCTTTCAGAAAGACTTAGTCTTTAGCCATAACAGTTTCTAGTGTATTAAACTTCGGGATTTTGTTGCAAAAGAGATGTAGTACTAAAATAAAGATCACTGAGGCTTAATTAACTATGAACCTTTTTTTCCAACTTTTCAGTTTCTAAGAAAATTTAAATAATCTTAAATAAATTCTTAGAGGGATCTATACAATATCTGTATTGCAACTACTCATAAACTATACATACATTATGCATCACAAATGTCATAGTCAGCTAGAGAAACCTAGAGAAGCTGGTATTTATAAAATATGACAATAAAGACAAAAGATGGTAGCACATTTTACTAGTTTCCTGTTGGCTGCTGTAACAAATTACCACAAACTCAGTGACTCAAAAGTCACTGGATGTCAGAAGTCTGACACAGGTCTCAACTGGGCTACAATCAAAGTCTGACAGGACTGCACTCCTTTCTGGCAGCTCTAGGAAGGAAGCTTTTTCCTTGCCTTTCTCAGCTTCTAGGGGCCACTCACATCCCTTTGTTTGCAGCCTCCTTCTCACACAACACTTTCTTATTGATTCTGTCACCGATAGATCTACTGATCCTCCTATCTCCCTCTTATACGGATCCATACATTAGGTCCAGCCAGATAATTCAGGTCGATCTCTCAATTGCAAAATCTTTAATCACATTCTCAAAGTCCACTTTACCATGTAAGGCATCATCCTTACAGGTTCTAAGGATTAGGATGTTGGCATCCCTACCACACTCTTGAGCCTATCATACAATCTAAATTTTTGTACATTTGATATTTATTAAGTGTAAATGTAAACTTTAGAGCAGAACAATGGAAGAAAATAGGAGTAGTGGACTCTTGAACAACAGGAGGGGTTAGGGACACCACACTCCTGCAGAATTGAGAACCTGCTTATGACTTTTGACTCCCTCCAAGCTTAACTACTAGTCCCCTGTTGACTGGATGCCTTACCGATAATATAAAGTCAATTAACATACATTTTATATGTTATATGTGTTATATACTGTATTCTTACAACAAAGTAAGCTGGAAAAAAGAAAATGCTATTAAGAAAATCATAAGGAAGGGAAAAATCTGTGTATAAGTGGACTCACACAGTTCAAACCCATGTTGCTCAAGGGTCAACTATAAATACAGTTTTCAAGTTTTCATTAAACAGTTGTTTTGTATATTTAAAATGGTTTTCGTGGACTTACAGCAGTCATTGTTTTATTTTATTTTATTTTTTAAAGATTTTATTTATTTATTCATGAGAGACACAGAGAGAGAGAGAGAGAGGCAGAGACACAGGCAGGGGGAGAAGCAGGCTCCCTGTGAGGAGCCCGATGTGGGACTCGATCCCAGAACTCCGGGATCACTACCTGAGCCCAAGACAGGCGCTCAACCACTGAGCCACCCAGGCACCCCAAAGCAGTCATTGTTTTAAAGTGACAAACCTAAGTACTCCATACGTACATGTACACCATGCATCCACTTTCTTCATCCAAATATAATATTATGCTCCCTTGATGATGTGGTCTGTTACCCATCACCCCACTAGACTGTATCTTCTACGAAAAGTGACCTGAGCCCTTTGTTTCCCTCCTATATTCCCTATGTCTAGCGGATAGCTACCTAGAATAGAGGCCCAGTAAGTTGTTTTGCGGCTGGCACTGGTGTTTAATCCTTCTAGCAACTATCATATTCTTTATCACTAACAGATCCCAAGTTTGTTCATTCTTCCTTTTTTTGTGAGGTATTCAAGGAAAGAGTTTCTTTCTACACCCGAGAGGTGAATTTTAATTAGTCTGAGACAATCATGGTAATATCATCCCCCATTCCACTGACAATTAATTTAAGAATGGGCATGTGATTACTTCCAAGCATGAGAAATCCACCAGGGACTTTCCAGTGATAGTTTTCCTTTCCTGACAAAAAGATGTACAAGGAGGAATGCCACTTTTCTGAGTCTTGATGTGATTGTCTGAGGATGTGGTGTCTGGCACTGTGGCAGGACCTTGAAACCATGCTGTCATAGAGCAAGGGATCCCCAAGAAAAAAAGTAACTGGCTAAGGATGGCATTGCAGGAAGTCATAAAATATATAGGCTCTTGATGAAATTATAGGCACTGATTTAACCAACCAGGAACTTCCCTACCATCAGAATTGTTGTTATATAAAGCACTAAATTCCATGTTTTAAGCCACTTTTATGTATATTATGTTTTCTGCAGATGAAAACATCTTAACAGATACATTTAAGAAAATGAATGGATGGATGGATGGATGGATGGATGGATGGATGAGGTGTTGTTTCTTATCATGCTATGCAATTTTGTACTATATTTTGCTCATTTGTAAATGAGAAAGTTGAGAATGTTCCCTCTTATAACCTTGCCATTTATCAATCTGCCTTTAATCAACAAATACAGAATATTAAAACTGCAATTAGAACAGGACTTAGCTGATGTTTTATAAGTGATGTATTTTCTATCCTTCCAAGTTCCATCCCTGGATCAAGTTAGAAAATCAGAGAATTGTGTAAAACAGGACATCAGGTTAGCCAACAAAGGAAACCTGCCTTTGTTAAGATTCATTTTAATATTTTGCCCTTTTTTAAAAATAAAAGTATTTTTTTTGCAAAATGCAATAGCAAATTGTGCATATTGTTGGTAACACTGAATAATACAGTGATTATCAAACCCAAGGCTAGATTCTCACCTGAGATAATTCTTCCGATATCAGTGCTACAAAAAGTATATTTCCTTCAAAAACATCTTTCTTTTTACAAACAAAGAGAAGAAAACCTTAGAGACAAATTTGAGATGGAAACACAGCAGTTATTTTGGCTTTTATGATCAGCAGACTGGTATCCTCTTTTCCAATTCTGTTTTGATTTTACTATTTTATTTTTTTATTGTAAAATACCTTAAATAAACAGTTGGTGGGAAAGGCAATGTGTAGTACACACTTAAATAAAAATTTTAATACTTAAAATAATATGTTTTGTTAATGTTACTTTATGTGGCTGGATGGCTAAAGCAAACATAATGAGACAAAACGAATATAGTTTATAAGAGCTGGGGCAGAAAGCTACCTTTTTTAACCACCCAAATACTTTCTTTAATTTACAGTCAAAAACGACATTTTTTATTACAAAAGTAATATTTATTCAACAGGTTTTAAATAACAAAAATAGAATATATTTTAAAGGAAAAATCACATGTACTCCATTGGGCAATAATTTTAATCATTTTGTATCCTTCTTCCTAATTTTATTTATACATATATAACACATCTATATGTTTATTAATGAAGTCATGTAAACTGGCATAAATTGGGATCCTTGGGTGGCACAGCGGTTTAGCGCCTGCCTTTGGCCCAGGGCGCGATCCTGGAGACCCGGGATCGAATCCCACGTCGGGCTCCCGGTGCATGGAGCCTGCTTCTCCCTCTGCCTGTCTCTGCCTCTCTCTCTCTTTCTGTGTGTGTGTGTGTGACTATCATAAATAAATAAAAAAGAAATTAAAAAAAATATTTAAACTGGCATAAATTGTTTTCTCACATTCTTTACCACTTATTTTTTTTCATATTTTAAACATACTTTGCTAATATGATTTTAATGACTAAATAATTTTCTTTTGGGGGTACTTTTTAACCAGTTTCTTATGACTATACTGAATAAAAAGTAGACAGGCTTAGAGAATTAAATGTTTAAAAGATACCATGTAAAAAGAAATAAATAGAAGGATAAAATGATACCATGTATTACCAACCCTTAAGAAGTAAAGAAAATAATAATCTCCAGAAGTAAAGAGACTCAAGTGCTAATTGGGTCGTCCAGAAATAAAACTGAAAGAATTAATATCTACTATGTCAGTAATATTACAAGTAACTTCTTTATAGGACCTGATTAAATCTTACTGTAAAATATTCCTTTTTCAAAGAGAAAGACCATAGAGCTGTAAATAAATATCTTCCAACATTATAAGACCACCATAGGCATTTTATCTCATTAAAATGAATGAAGCCTCTACTTAAAATACATTACCATACTTTCCAACCATACTTAAGTAAAGATGAGATGAGGATCAAATAAACCTTTTTCAAAGTACTCTTCAGTTTTAGGAATCTCCTGCTGGGAACTAATCTTCAAACCAGGCATATTTGATAAATCTGGAAGGTACATTCACCATTAGAGGCAGGTACAGAGGAATTCTTTCCTAAACTGTAGTTATAGCTGGTGTTCAGTGGGTAGAATAAATATTTGGTTTTATGCCCCATTACTCCTACATAGTGATGTGTCCACATCCTTTACTGCTTCTGATAACCTTTCCAGAAGAATTTTTGAATATGTGCTTTGGGTAAGACAGGAACTCTGAAAGTAATCTCCAGAAATCCTAGCCTTTGCTAAACGTGTGTGTGTGTGTGTGTGTGTGTGTGTGTGTGTGTGTGTGTGGTAGTTTTACCAGAAGCAGCAACAGATGAAATGCAGGAAGAATTTTATTAGAACCCCATCTTCTCAAAGTCTGACAATTTATTTCTCCTGGGAAAAAAGAGAGGAAGAAAGAATGTTTGGGAACATATCGCAAATCATTACCCTACCCTGCCACA